ACGAGAGTTTTCTTGAGGTGGTCAATAGCCTTGTAAGCAGCGGAGATATCCCTGGCCTATTCACTCCGGAGGAATTGGAGACAATGTTTACATCGCTGCGGGAGGATGCGGCCAGCAGTGGATACATTGGGAGTATTTACGCGTACTTTTTGATGCGTCTGCGTCGCAATTTACGTCTTGCACTTACAATGGACAGCCATCACGCTCTCTTCTTGGTGCGTCTGCAGTCTAACCCAGGGCTTCTCAGCAATTGTGATTTGCTCTGGATGGGCAATTGGAGCAACGATGCGACGCGGACAATATGCAAAAAGCGTTTGAAGAATATCATGAAGTGCATAGAGGCAGAGCCAGCCAATAAAGGATTTCATCTGCATCGTGAGCTTTTTGCTGTGCATGAGGCATTTGGAAATGATGCCACTCCAGGGCGATTTCAAGTGTTCATGGAGACGTATAAGAAGATCTTACTGGGAAAGAGTCAGAATAGTGAGGCGGACCTGAAACGTCTTGAGGCGGGCCTTTCAAAGTTACATGAAGCTGAGGAAAATGTGGAAAAGATCCGAAAGGACGTCACACATAAAAAAGAAGAAGTGGAGGCGATGCAAAGAGAGGCAGATGGCGCCCTGACAGAGATTCAGAAGAAAATGGAGGAGTCCAAGGAGCAGAGGGACAATGCACAGGAGTTGCAGGAGAGGCTCAAGGAAGAACACGAGGAGATTTTGGTCAAGCGGCAAAAGGTTGAAGATGAGTTGAGTGGAATAAAACCTTCACTGGAGGCGGCGCGAGAGGCTGTGAGTTCGATCCGCAGTGAACAACTCAATGAAATTCGTTCGCTCAAGGCACCGCCGGAGCCGGTGCGGGATGTGCTGGAGGGCGTTCTTGCTCTTCTTGGTGTCACCGATGTCTCATGGCAGTCGATGCGAAAGTTTCTTGGGGAGCGAGGTGCGAAGGAGCGCATTCTTGAATTTGATGCGCAAAAAGTGACGCGTGGCATACGTGAGAACGTCGGTCGGCTGCTGCACCAAAAGGCGAATTCATTCAAACCCGAGGTGATCCACCGCGCGTCTGTTGCAGCGGCTCCAATGGCTGCCTGGGTGAAGGCGACGGTCGACTACTCCACCATCCTTGACAGCATCTCTCCACTTAACTCCCAACTGCAGCAGCTCGAGAAGAACCAGAAGGAGGGCGAGGAGCAGCTGCATGCGCTGAAGAAGAAACTGAAACAAATTGATGTGGCCGTTGAGAAACTGCGAGAAGAGTTCTCAAAAAAGTGTAAAGAGGCGGAGAGACTGAAGGATGTGCTCGAAAAGGCTGAGAAGGAACTGTCGAAGGCGTGTGAGCTGCTGGAGAAGCTTGGCAGTGAGAAGACACGTTGGGCGCAAGATGCGGAGAAAATTGAAACGGACAATCGGCTGCTTCCAAGACGGGCTCTTCTCTCCGCTGCGTTTATGACGTACATTGCGAAGGAGACAGAGGATGTGCGTCAACGGTACTTTAAACAGTGGTCTGACCGTCTAAACTTCCCATCGGCGGTGACAGTGACCGGATTCATGCGGAGTGAAAGCGATTTGTTGCAGTGGAAGAGCGAGGGTCTCCCAAGAGATGATCTGAGTCAGGAAAATGCCATCGCCATGCTAGATGCGGTGCAAACTCCACTTGTCATTGACCCTGCCAACCAGGCCATCGAGTGGGTGAAGACGCACTTAAAGAATAACAATGTCGTTACGGAGATAACATCTGTGCATGATGAACGCTTTGCCCATACGCTGGAGCTCGCTGTGCGGTTTGGAAAAACCCTTCTTGTGGTAGATGTGGATGGAATCGAGCCCATTTTGTATCCACTGCTGCGACGGGATCTTCTCTCGGCGGGAGCCAAACGTGTTGTACAAGTTGGTAACAAACAAGTGGATTGGCAGGACACATTCCGTATTATGCTCTTCACACGACGCACAGATCTTGCTCTCCCCCCAGGGGCTGCGGCGTTAGTGTTGGAAGTAAACTTTTCGGTGACAAGATTTGGCCTTGAGAATCAACTGCTGGGCGTGACAATTCAACATGAGCGTCCCGAGCTTGAACAACAGCGTGTGGAGCTGCTACAAAAGGAAGAAAATCTCAAACTAGAACTTGTTAAGCTTGAGGAAAGACTATTAAATGACCTTGCCAGTTCCCATGGAAATCTATTGGAGAATGCGGCTCTTATTGGGGCTTTGAATGATGTGAAGATGCAGGCCTCGAGTATTACAGAGGCCCTACAACAGTCCCATTCTCTTCAAGTGGAATTGGACGAGAAACGTAATGTATACCGTCCTTTTGCCAGTAAGGGAGCCACAATTTTTTTTCTTGTAAAGGATGTGGAGAGGATGAATCGCATGTACCACTTTGGACTTAGCGACTTCATCGATTTGTTTGTTGAGTGCCTGAATACATACAACGGAGACTCGGATTTGGATCTCAAAATAAAGCGTCTTACACTCAGCTTTGCCCAGAAGTGTTTCTTTCACGTTAGCCTGGGCCTTTTAAAAAGTGACCGACTCATGTTTGGGATGCATCTGGTGCAGGGTTTCTTTCCGGAGGAGTTTCCTCCTTCCCTATGGAACGTGTTTATCGGCGTTTCGACTACTCCCAGTCATGCGGAAGCTGATGAGAGCAGAAATGAGGGATTCCCTTCATGGGCTCCAGCAACGGCACGTAGAAAGTTTATTTTGATGGCAGCGGATGAAGTGATGGCAGGGCATATGCAAAAGTGGCAGCTGCATGATAATGGACGGTGGAGTAAATGGATGATGGAAAGTTTTCCCGAGGAAAGTCTTGAGCAGGATGCGAGCCTCACTTTAATGGATAAACTTCTCCTCATTAACACCTTCCGGCCGGATCGTCTGACGGACTTCATGCATCATGTCATTATGAATCTTCTGAAGCTTGACACACTCATGCCCGTCACGTCACTGGAAGAAACCCTTACTCACGGCAAGGCCACCACGCCCATAATTCTCATCACTTCCAGAGGAGCAGACCCAAGCCTGGAGATTCAGGACATTGCGTTGCGTATTGTGGGAAAGGGGAGTTTTACGCAGATTGCGTGGGGTGGTGTCAAACCGAAGATGCCATGCTGCACCTTCATCGGTGTGCTGCTCAGGGGGATTGGCTCTTTTTGAAGAATTTGCATCTTGTGCTGGATTGGGCCTCAGTCCTTGAGAAGGAATTGTGTGCCATGCCTATTCCCAGCGCTGAGTTTCGTCTTATAATTACGACGGAACCACATGATTCTTTTCCAGTTGTTTTGTTGCGCATGTCGGCGAAGGTGACGATTGAAGCACCTCCAGGTATGAAACAAAATCTTCTTCAATCCTATACAACATGGGATGAGGCTTTTCTCCAGGGCAAGACAAAAACGACGTCTCAGGTGCTTTTTGGATTGGCATGGTTTCACGCGCTTCTGCAGGAGCGGAGGGGTTACATTCCACAGGGCTGGGTGAAATTCTACGAATTTTCTTCCGCCGACCTGAAGTCCGCGGCAGATGTGCTCTGTACTTTGTCGCGTGATAAGATGGACTGGACAACTGTACGTGGATTACTGCAAGAATGCATTTACGGTGGGCGCTTGGAGAATTCACACGATGAGCGGGTTTTGGAACGGCTGATATCCAGAATATTCAACGATGAAACGCTTGTCTCGTGCGACCGAAGGTTATATGATGATATGCGTGTACCCGCTACGAATGTGCATAGAGCGGTTGTGCAATTTATTCGCGAGCACCTTCCTGATGCGGATTCCCCATCCATTTTGAGTCTTCCCGATAACGCGGACCGCGCAGTGAAGGAGCAATTTGCATTGAAATTGACGGAGGATTTGCATACCGTTTCTCATCTGGCGCAGGTTTGCGTTTCAGCGACAGAGGCGTGGCGAACGCTGCTTGCCCCTGTTTTGGAGCTGTGGAAAAACAGTGCTCTGGAGCCCGAGGGAAATGCTGCGACTGTTTCACCCGGTGAGACAAAGGAGGATCCAATGTCTATTTTCTTCATGAGAGAATTGGAACTTTTGGTGGGCATTGTCTCCAATCTCACGGAAACCTTCTACGATTTGCGCTGCGTTGTCGAGGGCACGCTTATTCCTTCACCGGAGCTGCGGGAAGAGGGGACAGAGCTCATTGGCGGTCGTGTGCCGCCCCGATGGTTGGACCTCATGGACGGCCCCAAGGACGTGAAGCTGTGGTTTGCGCTCCTGCGTCGAAGGAGGGACACGATGATGGAGTATGCAAAGCGTCCTTTTTCTCCATCAACACCGTTTGACCTGATCGACTTTTTGCGTCCCCAAACTTTTCTCAATGCGCTGCGGCTGTACACAGTGCGTGTGAGCAATGAAGCCCTCGTCGAGTTGATGCTTGTGGCCACACCTGTCGGGCGTACTGCAGATAGGCTTGGCGTTGGCTTCACGCTTAAGGGAAAGTCTATTCATCTTCAAGGGGCGCTGCTGGATGCACAAGGCATTCTGTCGTTGCCTTCTGCAAGCTCGCCGTCTTCGACACCGTTGTCATGTGATGTGTGGGCCGCGTGGATGAGTAAGCACAATACCGAGGGCCTGGCCCGCATTCCGATCTATACAAACGCTGGGCGTACCGCGGCTATTATGGACCTCTTTCTCTCTTGCGATAGCGATATGGCGGAAAAACTGCTTCTTGGTGGAGTGGCGGCATTTCTCATGTCTGTATAGGAAAGAAAAAGTGTGAAAGTGAGACCAAAAACAGAGCTGTACATAGTGACGGAGATAGGGAAGGAGGGAGAAGGGGAAAAAAGGCACGTTTGGACCATCCTTATTTAGAAGAGCGTTTTTTTTTTTTTTTTTGTGTGTGTGTGTGGTTGCTGCATGACTTTTCTTCTGCCTCTCATTCCTCCGTCATTTGCGGGGAACTAGGGATTTCTTACAATACATATCGCATTATTACACAGAAGGAGGAAACACATCTTAAAGGAAATAAGGAAGGAAGTGCGATATTCCCGGAGCAATGAACACATTCGAGGACTTTTCACGACTTTTATCCACCTGGTTTGAGGCGCACGGTCTAACAGAGCACTTGCAGCGACGGCTGGATGAGAAGCTGCGCAATGACATCTTTGACGCGGGCGATTTTTTTTCATTGGCTGCCGTGGCGGATGCGGAGTCCGAGGGAGATGCGAATTCCCTGCAAGAAGCCGAAGCGTCGGCCAGCAACGAATATGTCCTTGTTGCTACGAGGGATTTGCGAGCAAAAGAAGACATATGGCTTGTGGATCACTGTTGTACATTTCGCCTCCGCGAGTTTTGTGAACACCTGGAGGCGAACGCTACGCTTCGCGAGCGTTTGGGCCGCATTCTCTCGCTCAAGTTATCACACACAAGTGCGAAGGAAGATACACAAACTGTATTTGATCACATGTGGACAAAAGTGGGCTCCTATAGACTACCCAATGAAGTTTTTGAGGAGGATTCTCAGTATGAAAACACCTGGTTTATTCACGATGAGGTTGGAAGCGCAATCAAGGTGGTGACGGGTGAACCTGGCAACATGAAACTGGAGCCTATTCCCCTCTGCTTCCCAGAAAAGGGCGGTGTCTTCTCTGCGATGTGGTGTGTGGAAGATATGGAGGAAGGCACCATCGCCACACAGAAAGCCGCCTCTGTGCTAGAAAGTGCGGGGGGAAAGGAGGTAGTGGAGCTCCTGTACGGACCAGCGGGGGGCGAAAGTTACGTGGATGCGAAACGTGTCTGTGTGGAGGCGTGGCGGCGATTGGCGGGCAGGCTGGAGGCGGTTTTGGCCACAGCGGAGGGTCATGTTGACAGAAATGATAACGATGCTGCAATGCACCGCCCTCCCACCGCATCGCTCGCTGCACCGCTACCAGAAAGAAGAAACAACGAAGAGTTAAGGGCGAAACTGCCCTTGCGTGTATTCACAGATAGCAAACTGGTCTCTGCGAATCTTACAGATGCTCGATCGTTTCTGTTGGTGGACCTTCCGCGGGAGGCGCAGGTGATGTGGATTTTCCACGATCCTATTCATGACCTCGCCCCTTTCCAGCATGCGCAGTTTATTTCTCAATTCCCCGAGGAGAGGCTCTTCACAAGCAAACAGGGTCTTACGCGACTTATCCAGGAACACTACGGGTATGTGGAGTGGTTCCAAGCAAGCTATGACACCACTTCGCAGCTTCGTGAATTTATTGGGGACTTTATGGCGCGACAGATGCAATTGAACGGTGCAGATCCGGATGTTGTGGTAACCCAAGATGACACTCGCCTCTTGCGCAGCGTTGATGGAACGAACTTATGGATTACGAAACCAATCAATTTGGCCCGAAGCGTCGATATGACGGTTTCTTCCAATTTAAAGGCATTGTTAAAAGCCATTGAAACGGGTCCCAAAGTGGTGTGCAAATATATTGCGAATAGCGCTACTCTGCGTCGACGTAAATTTGATCTTCGTTTCATCGTGGCCGTGCGGTCGTTTGTGTCGGAGGAAACGCCAATGGAGGCGTACGTGTACAATGTGTTTTGGACTCGTTTTGCGTTGGAAGACTACGCCCTGAACGAGTTTGATCGTTATGAAAAACACTGGACAGTTATGAACTATGCAAACCCCGAAAAGCTCATTCAGCTGCATCATTCGGAGTTTATTGAGGAATTCAATGCGGAATACGCCGGCAAAGGGTACGGTGACTCCCTTTGGGCCCGGGATGTTTACCCAAAGGTCCTGAAAATGCTTCGCGCAGCGTTTGGCATCGTGAAAGTCAGTGGCGCCGATCGCCGTCGCTGCCGTGCAATTTACGGCGTTGACGTTATGCTGCGCGAAACGTTGGACGACACTCGCGGGACGAAGAGTCTGGAACCGACGCTGCTCGAGATCACGTACGGCCCCGACTGCCAGCGCGCCTGCAAGTATCACCCAAACTTTCTTAATGAAGTCTTTCGAACGCTCTTTCTTGGGACGCCTGCGAACATGACGCGGTTGTAAATCAAATTTGGTTCGCCATCGATTTTCTTTTTTTCTTGTTTGTTGCTGTTCTTGTTTTGGTGGGGGTTCTAAAATTTGTTTTTCTGCTGTTGGTCTCGTTTTTTCCTTTTGTTTTGGCCGGGAAATCGAAAAACAACTCTTCGTTTCCCCCTCCCTCTTCTCTCTCAGAAGATATCGTTGCCAGTACTTCTCTCGTACTGAAAGGGAGATGCAAATTGCATCTGTAGTGTGCACACTTTATTTACCATATATTATTTGTTGTTGCCCAACACCGACCGGCCCCCCGTGGGTTGAGTTGGAGTGTGCCTGTTTGGACCCGAAAGGTGGTGAACTATGCCTGAACAAGGTGAAGCCCGGGGAAACTCGGGTGGAGGCCTGTAGCGATGCTGACGTGCAAATCGCTCGCATGATTTGGGTATCGGAGCGAAAGACTCATCGAACCACCTAGTAGCTGGTTCACATCGAAGTTTCCCTCAGGATAGCTGGTGCTTGCTTGAAAAAGTATTGTGCGGTAAAGCAAATGATTAGAGGCATTGGTGTTCTTAGAATATCGACCTATTCTCAAACTTTAAATGTGCAAACAAACCGCGCCTTAGCCAAAATTTTTTAGCAAGGCCGGACAGACAAGAATTAAGGCACCAAGTGGGCCTTCTTCGGTAAGCGGAGCAGGCGATGCGGAATGAACCGCTTAGGGATATGTGGCGTCAAAACTTATGGGCTCATTCTCGATACGTGAAAAGGGTGTTGGTGGATAGGGACAGTTGGACGGTGGCCATGGAAGTCGGCATCCGCTAAGGAGTGTGTAACAACTCACCAACCGAATCCACCGGCCCCGAAAATGGATGACGCTCAAGCCCAATTAGTGATTGCCCATTATTCCTTTGGTAAGGGCGGCAAAAGGCAACTTTTGTGTGCGTGAGAAAGTGTAGCCCTTCCGATGTAGATGTGGCGTGGAGGTAAGGACGAAGCTGATGGCGTGAGCCTCAGATGGACCAGCCTCTAGTCCAGATCTTGGTTGGCGCAGCAAAGATCTAACGGAAAACTATTTAACATGCAACGTTGGATACTGAGCAGAATAATCTTCTGGGCAGCTGGCCGGATCCTGAAATTATCTCAAGAAACCAAACAAGTTAGGAAAAAAGGTTCGTTAGTTAATTGCTTCAATGTTTTATTTTCAATACATAGAATTCTGTGGACCACTAGCATCGTCCTTTGTCTCTCTCAGTTAGGATTTTAAATATTATTACTTACGAAGTGGCGGACTTTGGTTTCCTCCACTCACAAGACCCCGCCGCTCCCCTTCGCAAGTCCCACCCCCTCGCCAAGTCCTGAAGTGTAAAAACACAACCGCGTGATATGCCGTCTGCGGGGGTTGTCCGCTGATCGCACGTAGGCAAAGGATGCCTGTATTCCGCGAGAGTCCAAAAACTCATAAATCCGTTGCAGCTCCCACGTCAACGCGTGTGATTTTGGGCTGCCTTTATTCGCCGCTCCTTGTAGCGAAGTGTTGCCCACCCAAACGTCCATGGTGGATGGCAAGATGGCGGAAAAGGCCGGTAAGGCTAAGCGTACCGCGCGTGCCTCGGCCTGCATGATAAGAAAAGGCTTCCTCTCCCATTTTCCTCCGGCAATTTTAACGTCGACGGAGTCTGGAATTAAAACGGCTCCCCATCCACGGAGCGATGCATCCGTGATGATGGCGGCCGATGCCTTTTCCGTGGGCTTGATGATTCGCTTGCGATTATATTCTCGATGCTGTGCCCTCATCTCTCGCCCAAACCAGCCGCTGACAGCGGAAGGTTCGCCGGGGATTTCTCCTGCACAATCCCCCGGTTAAGTGCGGATAATCGTCGTCGCACTGCCTTGATGAAAAGGTAGTAGTCGCATAATTGCGTGCCCAAAATGGCAGCCGCGTTTAAAAAGCGTGACGCCATAACCTCCATTTCCGCGATGGTTAAAGAATTGAGCGACAGCACGGCGCATACAGACCGGAAAAACCTTCCACTCAGGGGCACCGCTCGGCGTGAGTTTCATCAAACCGCACCCCCAGGAAGGTGCACTGAGTGGCGCCCGATTCGCGGTCCTCCCCTATCGTTGCGCGACGGCCGTCCGCATTACGAAGCACTGGGGCTCCCCACAATGTCGCGTCGCTTTTAGACCCTGCAATGCGTATATTACCGATCCAAACGTCGATACGCACCAATGGAGGTGCAGCCCAGAGGAAGTGAGTCACCGTCGTCACCCCCGCAATTGCCGAAGTAATAATCTGGAGAATTTCTGGGCTGGCCTTGTATCCCATTGGGAGCCGCGTGAGCTCCTCCAGCGTGCCGTCCTCCACGCGGCATCGAAAGAGATGCCGAGTCTCCCGCGGTAAAGAGACTTGAAAAAAGGATGCCTTTAAATCCAGGCAGGGAGCGGCCTCGGCCATCACAGGCGGCAAATAATGGGAAATGTGTAAAAGAGGGAAATTCGCCTCATAAGGGTCGTCTCTGTTCTTGTCGCGTGGCCACGCAATCCATCGTCGTCGTAAACCGGTGGTTTTCTCCTCCACAACCGAAAAAGGTCTTGTCCATCCGCCTGTTATTGTGGACGAAGCGTCCTCGATAATTCCTGCTGTTCGTAACAATCGCGCGTCAGCGGTTGGAATCCTCCGTGAGTTTCGCGCGCTTTACCGGAGGAAGACGGAGGGAAAGGGGACCGCCCGACGAGTCCCCAAACTTGCATGAGTCTCTCCAAGGTGGCCGGGTTCAACCGACTCATGATCCACTTTGGTATTCAATACGGGCACGTTGACTCGCTGTAACGGGATAGCGTGTTCATCTTGTAGAGTGGCCAGACGCGTCCTTGTCGCTTGTCTCGTTATTGTAGCAGCATGATTGTGATTAAAATCATGAAAAAACGTTGCTCTGCTCTCAACCAGGGTTCCTGCCCTTCCGCAGCCTCTCCCCTTCACATCAATGCGACCGGCGACGACACCTGGGTCAGCATTGTGTTGCAATTCCCCAAATATCGAACAGTATTCTGGGGAAGGTCGAACGGATTGACGCGCTTCGCCAACTGCGTGATCACGTGTGGGTCCAAATTGTGAGTCTCCACGGTTTGAGCAGCGCACCTCAACGCACCGCGTTTTGTGGAATGCGCCGTGGCACACCAAGTAGCCAGAGCTCGTTCGACTTGAGCATTAGTAATATTCGCGAGATTTTCGTTGTGTCAAACGCGTCCTGCCCTCGTATCCTGACGAACCGTGAGGCGCGGTGGGGGTCCGCCCTCGCCGTCTTTCGCGCCACGGACCAATCCAAAATTAAGGTACCGTCCGGCTCCAGTGTGAAATTGTCGGGGGTTAAGGCCGCAATCTCAAACCAACATCTCGCAGTCATCCACGCAAGTCGAAAAACAACCCGTTCCTTCCAATCGGCCAGGCTGCGGATACATTCCTCGGTCCCTTTCTTTGTCGATGAGCGGACCTGCTTCTTTTCCGATCGCGCCGCGATTTTTTGCAACCCCAGAATCACTATGTCCAGCGGGGCCCGATTCATTTGCAACATGGACCGCAGCATCCTGGCGTGCTGCGGTCTGGTCCGTGGAGCCACATCTAGCACAGCCATCAAAAAGGTCACGCGGCTCTCCTCGCTGATCCGCTGTTCGTGCGTGCGGCAAAAGGTTGCGAATTGCCCCGCTAGAGACATTGCCTGCTCCCACGCTGGCGGGGCACGCATCTCTCGAGCCGCCTCGTTCGCCCTCCTCCTGTGCCTGGCCCGCGGCGGAACTGTCGGTGTTTCGTACCACAGTCGAGCGTCGGTAGCGGATAAGCGCCATTGCCCTTCTCGACGATTGCGTCGGGCAATTCGAAAGTCCGGATGAAGCGTCGGTGGCGCGGTGCGGATGGTGGGAGGCGGTGGAACGGATGAGGCTGCTGTCGTCCGCCTTCATAGGCAGCGGGCGGCCCCTCCGCCGCTTTTTCACGGCCATCCGCGCTGCGAGTAATTCCCTCTGGGTGCGCCTCGGGCATTGCATGTAGACGCTTCGTGCCCACAAATGCGACACAACCGGCATCACGACAATCGTTGCGTCCCTCGCCGTTCCGCGAGAAGCTGGGCTGCCCCCGCAAAGGCGTCAGCTTCATGTGCGGCAGTGTAAAGACGGGCGCGCGGTTTGGAAAGCCGGATGCTATGTTCGGTTGCGATCGTGAGCTGCCTCCGGAATGTATTCAGTAGGGACCTGCCTGAATCCATGAACTGATCGGTGGGATCCCGCTCCGCTCCCAGCACGCCGATCCACTCGACCAAATTGTCAAAGGCAAATTGAGCGTGGCCTTCCGCCTGTTGCCAACAATCGTATGCGCCCCGAAGGTCGACAACGACTCCGGAAACGCTCTCATTCCAAACACGCGTGGCCCAAGTGGTGGCGTCGAAAGCGGGAAAACACCGTTCCTCTTCTTCTGTGCCAGAATGGGCGTCCAAGAGAAAGTGCGGGAAGGTAAAAGCGTGGAAAGACGGAAATGTGGCCACCCAAAATCACCCTGAGACGTCTGGAGAATAACCTGCCGTCTCTCTCGCGCCGGACTTCGTTGGGCCGTGCGTAACGGTTCGCCGCGCTCCTCTTGCGCTAACGCGTGCCTCTCGTTCCTGTAGTTGGGCGCGGTTAGCCTCCACTTGCCGTTCGCGTCCGGCGAGCACGTATTCTCGTTCTGCAATAAGGCCGTCGACGACCGCAATGCGACATTCGCACGCCGATAGGCTGCTATTATGCGCCTCTTCCACCTGCGACTTAAGCCGGGCGCTTCCATTCCGCACTTCCGCGACGGTGTGGGCGTGGTCCGTGCTCAAGCGATCCCTTTCAGGAATTACGAGCCCCTTGCTGGACCCTCAACTCCCGGGCCGCTCCCACACAATGGGCAGGAGCGATTGAGTCTCAAAATTTAATACTTGAGGCGCCCGGCGATTCGCAATATGTCCTGTAAGGCTCGAATCCTCCCTGTGATTGGCGATGTTTCCCAAAATCAAGCGCAAGCCTGTCATCGGGGTGGCCACAGTTAGCGTTGCATCCGACGGGCTGTTTTCATCCACAACGGTGAGCTGCACCTGGATAGCGCCATGCTGGCGTACCAATTCTGAAATAGGGACACCAATATCGCTGGACTGGGAGGCCGAGTAAAACAAGCCAATGCCATTTCCTTAAACCAACCTCGCTGTGTCTGTAAACATGAAATAAAATAAGTAAAGTCCTCTACACGTCAATTTTCCCCTGATGTCCTTAAAGTCGTGGCCTGCCCAAAATTCGCAAGACGGAAAAAGTGTCATAAAAACGTGTGTGTTCGTTTTGGCAGGGATACATACATATATGCATTCATTAGGGTTGGCCAGCTCCCCCGCGATCATTCTCTTCGCGAGCTCCTACGAAGTCACACCGTTTTGTTGGGAGAGTGGAGGTGCATCGCCAGTGGGGGAGAACGGGCCCCAATTTTTGTTGTTAACAGTTGCAAGGTAATCCATCCATCTTCCCACGGTTAGCTTTCTTTTTCACCACAGCCCAAACTTTCTGCAGCGCTGGTTTGCCCATCATGACCCCGGTGCCTTCCCCTTTCCTGTGCAAAAATGCCCGCCACCTTCGTGTGGAAGCGACAACCCGCAAAAACAACAACAACAACAAAAATATGCACGCATAAATAAAAACGGCAAAGAAAGAAACAGAGCATGCGTCTGGATGAGGCTTCCTCCTCCTCCCGCTCCCACGCAAGGAAAAAATACAGGAAACAAAATATCGCAGTTTGATTCCGTACCCTCGCTGTCCTCAATTTACATAAAATTCCTCCAACGCTTAATAATAAATGGGCGCCTTGTGAACTTACCGAGTGGCAGTTTTTAAAAAAAGCCTCTCCACAGTCACCGGGCTCCCCGCCGCGTGGGGAGTAGTGAAGGGGGCGAGCGAGACGGCAGAAAGGAAATTATACTCGCTGCCTTCCAACGCGGTGTGTTCGAAAATAAAAATCAGGTGGTCAGTAAAACAAAACAAAAACACACACGCACATACTACAATTGGGTTCAACAAGAGGCGCCGTCTTCTGCGGGGCCCTATCTCCAGACGCACATTCGTTCTAAAGGCTTCTTCGCGTCTCGTGTGGTCGGTGGCTTTTCGGGTCCACCCGCATTCGGAGACGGAGAAAGCATTCATGTGTGCCGCTGGACCCCGGAACCAAAAGACGACGCCAATGTGGATGGAACAAGATCCGTTAAGTGGGGGGGCGTCTGATGGCTCTTTTTACACACTCTGCCGGCCCCGGGCCGAGGAAATCTTTCAAGAAGGTGCGCATAAAGGCGCACATGACGGAAAAAAAAAAAAAAAAAACGAAAAAAACACACACGGGGGCCGATCATGATTATTGGCAAGAATTTAAAAATCAGCAAATAAAAACAAACAAACAAAAACAAAAAAAAAAAACAATGCAGTATATGCCCACATTTTTGTGTACACATGAAAAAAGTGCAGACAGCAAAAATAACAACCAGAAAGGTGTGTCTGCCATATAAAAATTGATAGATAACTGCTTACAACGGGTGGTTTCTCACCTTTTTTTTTTTTTTCTCCTTCCTTTAAATTGATCCTCACCTGCTATTTTACCTATTCAACTTGGTAATACTGCTCTTCAAGTGAGAGTGGGTTTTTTCCTTGATTTTCGTGGGCCAATTGGTCCACAGTTGGATCGGAATTCCTCTGTGACGGTCTGTGTTTCGACAGGTTCAAGGGGCTTCCATTGCTTGAGCTAATCGAATGCTCACCCGAGACGTATGCCTCCATCACTTGCCCCAAATGCCTCGAGAAGGAGCTTGTGCACGCCGCATATCCAGGCAGCGAGGTCCCCAGAAACCGTTCAACGAGATCCTTGAACATTTCCATGGCAGTCACAAATTCCTGCTTCTTTCCCTGGTATTTAATGGTTGCGCGTTCGCGGTTTTTACCCAACTTGGCGTAGGACTTGCTTTCACCAAGCGGACGGTTCTTCCTTGCGAAATCCCTCTCCATTTCGCCAATCTTGTAGCGGTACGTATCCTCCGCTTTCTTCAACTCCTTCGCGCGCTTGTACAGCTTGTAGACTTTATTCCGTTCGGCCATAAGAGGTGGGAGGCCTTCCTTCACATAACGTGTGATGTCCATCTGCAATCCTGATAGAGTCGGCCCATCCCTCAGCTTCCGCATTCCCTCCTTAAACCCATCAGCCAAGCCCACCATGTTCTTGCTGCTTCCCCCCGCGATTTCCACAAAGCATTGTGCCACCTTCTCGAATGAATTCATCAACATTTGGTATGTGTTGAGAGTTTCGGCAATACTCTTCTCAAAAAGCTTAAAGGTTTTGGTAATGTTCTCTAGGTACACACCGTTTTCATCAAGTTCCTTGTCTGCGGTTTGAGGAATCTTGGAGCAGCAAGACATTTTTTTCTTCTTTTGATGTCCTTTGTTGAATGCAATGGTAATTCTTTTTTAAATCGGTTTCTTTTCGTAATATGCCTGACACTTATGGCCCTTGTGGGTCCTTCCCTTCGGTACACAAATATTTATATGTGTATTATATTGCCTATTGGCGTATGTATGTGTATGTGTGTGAGTTTTTGTTACCTCCGACTTCTTTCCGCAGCAAGTGTTATGAGAGGGAGAGAGAAAGGAAGAAAAGGGGAACTGCAACGCTGCAGGGCGCCTCGGAAATTCCTCAAAAACTTCGTGTACATCACCTTCCGCGCCGTTTGTTTTTGTTGGCCTCCTTTTGACACACTTCTTCCCCCCAGTCGACCTCGCACGGGGGTGCGTGCTGGAGACATCGCTCTCTCTCTCTCTCTCTCTCTCTCTTTCTCTCTCCCTCACACACAGACACACACAAAGGGATGAAGCCAATGGAAAAGGACAACCGAGGAAAAATAACAAAAACAAACCAAACCAAACCAAAAAAAAGATGGCCATCCCCAACAACCATCCATCCTCCCACTTTTTTTTTTATTTCGCTCATTCTACTTGCGGTCCAACAGTTGGCGTCCATGTTGAATTGACTTCGTGTACGCGCTTGTCTTCCGCACCACGCCCAGCAGCAAATGCACCACGTAACGCAAAAACACCGAGATCACCTGCTTCAACTCGTACGCCTTAAAGGCATCTTTCCTGAATATCCCAAAGAGAGACGTGGACCCAATCTCATCGCAGCGGCGAAACAACAGGGAAAAAACAACAAATCCCAAAATAACTCTAATAATGGCCATGATGAGAAGCTGCACAATACGTGAACACCTCGATCTCTTGAGAAGTTCCAAACGGCGCTGTGTGACGAGAAAGCCTGCATACGCCACCGTTGGAGCCCAACTGACAGCTACTGATACCATTGCTTCGTCCAATATTGCCTTGTACGTCAGACCACGCCATGTGACACCCATTGCCACCAAACGCAGCGGTGCAGCAGCGACAGCCGTGACAATGGATGCGTGCATTAACCCGAGCGGAACAACTTTGTGGTACACAAAAGCACGTAAAACACTTGCACCTACAGCGGGAAAAAGGGCGCCATGACACTTTATTTTATCCCAAATGTGTTTTACCTGATGATTGGGAGGAAGAGCGGGGTAATCAATGTACTGCATTGTCAATTTCTGCAAAACCACAGTTGACACGACATCCTGTACTATGTCCTCAACCAAACCCCATTCCTTTGGCACGCCATATGAACTCGGCACGCGGGAGCAAGCTGCCGCACGACGCAAGGCCGGGCACAAAGAAGTTTGCTCTTGGTACTCTTCATTTGCCATGAGACATAACGGCTCCGAAACATTTTGCAGAAATTGCGCTGCCAAGTCAGGATGCTCATGAAGGAGATCATTTAGGGAAGAGGATGTTAACTGGTATGTTATTGTTCCACTCACGGCTGCCTGAACTGTTTCCGTCGCAAAGCTTTGGGTAATAAAGTCATACATGGCCACGGTCTGTCCACGTCCAATGTATCTTGGGGGAATGGTTATTGTGTTATCGCCGAGGCGCGCCACCAACCCACCATCCGCTACCACCCACATACTGACATGACGATCGCCTCGGTATGTTAGATAGTCCCCGCATGCATGAATGCGTCTTGCAAATTTCCGCGCCACAGCTTTAAGTTGATGTGACGTGCACCTTGAAAAAAGAGGAAGATTTCTCAATAATTCATCTACAGAGAACGTACTTTTGGAGTCCAGTTCTGGAGCCACATCAGAGAGCGCCTCGACTCCAGGAAGAAGGTTTCCCTGAAGTAGCTCTAAGCACGAGACCCCGCCTCCGGAAATATGGGAAAAATATGAGGCCAGACCAAACTGTTGAACAGCACGGGCCGTGCTACGTCCACCAATGATGGATAATTTTCGTTCCTGTGCAAGAATAGTGGCAAAAGCACGTGTGCCTTCATGGTACCCCAAACTGGTCCAGCCAAACGTACCGGCCCAATATACACACTCACACTCACGAATGTATTTTGCAAAGAGAGCAATTGTATTGGAAGCACAATCCATGGCATACACATCAGAAGGAATAGCCATAGACTCTACAACGGCAGCAGATGCGTCATTGATTTTTGTCAATCGCTTCGATACCACATGATCGACAGGCAAAACCAACTCCACCCCTTTCGCTTCACATAAAGACAAGATTTCCTCGGCTAATTGTGTACATGTAATCGTTTCCTCCTCAAAGTCCCCACCGCGGCTATTCAGTAGTTTCCGTTTTACCACCTCGGGTAAATTCAACGACTTCCCAGAGCTTAATCCTTTGGCGGACAAAAATGGTATTTTTAATAGTCCCGCGATGAGGATCTTGTCCACCCTGCCTATTAAACTGCGTATCATGAGTAGTTTCTCAGGAATATTCGTCCCGGCAACCACCACCGCAATCGGCCGTGCGGGGTGGGTAAGGAACTTGGAGAAAAATGCCAACTCGCGATCCACAGAAAGTCCTGCAGCACCGTGGTATAGAATTTTGGGAATTGCCGTGTTGCTTGCGTGGTTCTTGCTAGCTGTGGCGAAGGATTCATTTACAAACACATCAATATCTGCTGCAAGAACTTCAGCCATGGCCATTCGTTCTGCCTGATCCGAGGAGGTCTCATTGCGGTAAAACTGCAAGTTTTCAAGCACCAATATCTCTCCCGGTTTCAGCTGATGCAACGGGGGACGCAAACAATCCGAGGCAAATTTCACCGTAACGCCTGGTAGAAGTTTGGCAAGTTCCTCTACGAACGGGAACGTCGAGACAGGCGGAAATTCCGCCTTCGGGAACACTCGATGCAATGCATCAAACTTTGCTGCGTTCTCCAGCTGAGAAAACACAAGTGTTTTGCCGGTGTTGCCGTCAACAGAACAGGTGGATGGGAGCACCAACCCTGGCACGCTCTTCAACACCTCCATCTTCATACGGGAAGAGATCGAGAAGAAAAAGTTGCTAAATCCCCTGCCTCCTTCTCGACGGAAGGCCACAATCGCATCCTCGCGTTGTTGCCGCGGCAAATTTAGTGGAATACCGCATAAGGGTCCGAACGACGCGCCCACCACCACTGCTCCCTGCTTCTTTAACAGGTATTCGATGGTGTTGAGTGTGGCGTTGGAATCGGTGGTTTCCCCCAAAATGTTCTGCGGATCCACCAGGACAAAAAACTTCTTGTTTTTGAGCGGCCAGATGTCGTACACGGCACGCTTCGACCCCAAAACTGCAACGGACATCAATGTACCCTTTTTAACGGTGAATATAATGTTATATATTTACACCTCAAGTCTTTTTTTTTTTTTTTTCTTCCTTTTTCTCCTTTTTTTTTGCTGTCTCCTTCACACGTATTACTTTTATTATTCTTTCTTTTTGTGTGTGTGTGTGTGTGTGCGTGTGTGTATTTATGTATTTATTCCGCGGCAAAACAAATGTGTGGCCCTCCGTTTTATTTTGATTTCCCGCTGATCCTCCCCCTTTGGACAACCCCCAATTCACTGCAATTCCGCTGGCTGGCCGTGGCGGCGGTGGGGAGGCGCAAGAACAGCGAGAGGAAGGGGACGGGAGCAAACCGTGAGGAAAACAAACACCCCGCGGAGAGAAAAAAAAATAAATAAATAAATAATAATTGAAAACAATATGTGTGCGTGTGTGAATGCGGGGAAAAGCAAACAAATAAGGATAAATAAATACAATAAAAACACCAACTAAACAACAAACAAACAAAAAAAAAAAAAAACACAACACCGTCTTTTTAGTTTACTCGCTATTTCGGTGATGTCGTCGCGCCATTTTGGCTCTTAACTTCTTCACGGTCATGTGATCAAAATATTGTGCGGTAAACTCGTCCGGGCCTCGTCATGGCCATCCCTCCTCTTCCTCTTCCCTTTTTTTTTTTTGTTTTGTTTTCCCCTTCACCGCAGCGAAGGGGCGGGAATGAAGCCTATATATATATATATGTATAGTTAATTTTTTTTTTAAAAAGAAAAATCAAGAATTTCTCACTGGCTAAATACGTCCACTGCGGGTGCACACAGACCAAAGACAGATTCTCTTTCACGTCCCTATGAATTTAAAGAAGAAGGACGACCGAACAAGGAACAAAATAAACACACATTTTGGCCCATTTCCGTTATTATCTATTCTGTTTCCATTGGCAATGAGAACGAAAGCATCTACTTCATTCCCCGTACCAGCGTGCTTCCTCCGCCCCTCCACTCCTCCCCCTTTTTTTTTCTTCTTCTTTTCACCACCTCTACTCACTCGTCTAAAAGACGGATGCCCCACACAGGGATCCACGGGTATATAAATAAATATATACCACACAATAATCAAATCGGACGAAAAAAAAAAAAAAAAAAAAAACAACTCAACAAAAAATAAAACAACCATCGGAGGCACATGTACAAAAACAAAAGGCAAAAAAAAAAAAGTGCATCACAAAGTTATATAAACGACAATCCCCCATGGTCGTGATTCTGATTAAATTTAGTTAAAATCCCACGGGGTTTGAAAAACCTCGGTTGCTGCTATGATGCCTGTGGTGTTACCCCTACAGCTGCAGCCATCGCTTCCTCGACAGCACACCAATTTCCACCCACCCTTCGAAGCAATTCCAAACCTTCTTCTGGGGCCAATCCAAACCGGTTACCTATACGGCATACCTGAATACTCTCTAGTATATTCTCTCCTGCTAGTGTGGCGCAGTGCTCATACATGCTCAGCGGCACACCTCCAATGTCGTTGAGCACAGTTATTAGCTCTGCATCATTGCTCACATGTTGACTCAATGCCAACACCACCTCCATTGGTACATTCTTTTTTCTGCCAAGTACCTCAGCACGACTGCGATCGTCTCTGGGACTAAAAAGAATACGGCACTCACTCAAGCTGATTTGAGTACTAGCGTTAGCATCACCCTTCTTTGACGGGCTTGCTGCGTCCCCTGGAAATGGGTACAGTGACACCATATCGTTCGTTATTAACCAACGACCAGCATCATTTTGCTGAACGGAAATTAAGCGTGAGAAGTTGCGATAAATAACCACTCGATCGTTGCTTGACTGATTTTGCGGGCTGAGATGGGTCCACGCCATCACACCATGCAGCGTTACCACCGTCACTGGCACCTTCATCATCGCGGGTGATGGACCAGAAAGATACGTATTGTCCAAGAAAGAGGCACTTGCACTGCTGTGCACAAAATGTTCTACCAAAAAATTTTTTGGATACAACCAATGCTCCAGTTGTGAGCATACTTTTGTTCGCCCACACGCCACAACACTTGACTTCACGCCGTGTAGTAGGTTGTGGTTACTTTCAGTCTGTTTGAGACGGAAACTAACAATTTCACGAACAACATTGCGCTGTGTACCTCCCACCGGAGAGCTTTTGACAGTCCGTGCCGGAGTACTTAACGCGGCCTCCGGCGACGAGAGGGAAATACTCAGAATGGCCT